GCTGCCGGGCCTGCTGTGTTCATCCAGCCCTGCACCTTGTTGTCTCGGAGACTCCAGAACAGAACCTGTTTGCAACACAGTTACTGCCTGTAATGACTTTTTTTTTAATATCTAAGAACCACTTTCTTGTTCAGCACCCAGACACTGCTTCAATGACTATTTGCTTGATATTCTGAACACCAAAGACACCACCACACCTTTAAATACTTTGGTCATTATAGAATCCAAGGAGTCATAGAGTTTACAGCACAGACAAAGGGCCTTCAGCCCATCAAGTCTGTGCTGGAAGAAACAACTACCTAACACCTCTAATAACAGCACTGGGCCTACAGTCTTGTTTGTCTTGACATTGCAAGTGAATCTTCAGTTTGAGACTTCTCGTGTCTCTTTGACTAGTGAAAGCAGTTCTTCACCATGACAGAGATAGTCGGAACTGCAGATGCTGGAGAATCTGAGATAACAAGGTGTAGAGCTGGATGAACACGTTTTGGGCCTAGATCCTTTCTGAAGAAGGGTCTAGGCCCGAAACGTCAGCTTTCCTGCTCCTCTGATGCTACTTGGCCTGCTGTGTTCATCCAGCTCTACACCTTGTTATCTCTTCACCATGGCAGTTGGTTTCTCTCTCTGCATGTGGCATCACTGTACTTATTGTCAATCTACAGTTACATAGTGGTAATGAGAATTTATCCTGAAATCGCTGTAAGCCTTTGTGATGGTCCCACAGTCCAAAGATGGGCAGGTTAGGTGGATTGGCCATGCTAAATTGCCTATAGTGTCCTGGGATGTGCAAGCTAGCCATGGGAAATGCAGGGTTATAGGGATAGAGTAGGAGGGTGAGACAGGGTGGATGCTCTTCAGAGGCTCGGTATGTGGACACAATGGGCCAAATGGCCTGCTTCCACACTCTAGGTATTCAATGATTCTGTGATAGCCTACAATATTTTTAACCACTAAACTTCTGACCTACTCGTAGCACCTTCCTGACTCCTGCACTCACTGACATTGTAAACAGTTTTCTCTGTTGAGGTACTGTTACCCTCTCTTTTAAAATTCCACCAGTGCTCTTTCTCAAAAATCCAACATTGATTCCTCTGTCCTCACAAGCTACTGCTTCATCTCACTTTCTGAATCTATTAAGGTCTTTTCCATTTTCCAAGTCTGAATTCACCCAAACAACTTTCTGCCTTTACCTGCCACTGTCTTGGTCATAAGTTTTGCAATTTCTACCCTTTAGCTTTCCATCTCACAAAGCAGAATTGAGTGTCACCAAACAGATATAATACTTCACAGGCCTGCACTCAAAAGTTAACATTAAACCCCAAGCAATTTTGTTCAGGATCTAAAAGCATGGATTCCTCTAAGTTCTGAGTTTTCACTCTGTTATCATAGCCAAAAATCCTTTACAAGTACATGTCCATGCATCTGTCCATGATGGTATCGGTAGATTTGACTACCTCACAGTCCATATTGAGGCTTTGTCCTGTCTTCATTGTGTTATATGGGATAGACTTGGAATAGATCTAGCAATGACTGGGCATCCATGAGGTTCTGTGGGCGATCAGTAGTAGCAGAAGCGTACTCCAACGCAATGTACAACCTCATGGCTCCTTCGTCAGCACCTTTCAAACCCATGACCATTTCCATTTGGAAGGACAAGGGTATCAGATCTATGGGCAATCCAGGACCTGCAAGTTTCTCTTCAAGCCACTCAACATCCTGACTTAGAAATATATCATCATCCTTTCAGTTTTACTGGTTCAACATCCTAGATACCCTCCTTAACAACTGTGGATTTAAATACTGCATATGGACTGCTGAGGTTCAAGAAGGCAAATCACCACAACCTTTTCAACGGATGAGAAACAAATGTAGGCCCAGCCAGTGACACCCACATCCCATGAATGAATTCCTTAAAAGTCAAAAATTCAACCCTCATACCCTGCTTTAAGAAAGATGTTGTGAAACTTGAAAAGGCTCGAAAAAGATTTACAAGGATGTTGCCGGGGTTGGAGGGTTTTAGCTATAGGGACAGGCTGAATAGGCTGGGGCTATTTTCCCTGGAGTGTCAGAGGCTGCGGGGTGACCTTATAGAGGTTTATAAAATCATGAGAGCATGGATAGAGTCAAGGTCTTTCCCCAGGGTGGGAGAGTCCAAAACCAAGGGGCATATGTTTAAGGTGAGAGGGGAAAGATTTAAAAGGGACCTAAGGGGCAACATTTTCATGCAAAGGATGGTGCATTTATGGAATAAGCTGCCAGAGGAGGCGATGGAGGCTGGTATAATTATACCATTTAAAAGGCACTTGGATTGGTACATGAATAGGAAGGGTTTAGAGGGATATGGGCCAAATGTTGGCAAATGAGATTAGATTAATTTAGGATATCCGGTTGGTATGGATGAGTTGGACCAAAGGATCTGTTTCCATGCTGTACAGCTCTATGGCTCATTGTTAAAACTGCAGGAGAAAGAAAAATTGGAAACTCTAGTTGCCAGTGTTACATCCAAACAGTGATTAGATATTTTGTTGTTTTGATTGGCCGACTACAGAGAAATCATATCTCTTACATTCAAATGACTTACAGACCAAAGTCTTGTGAAGAATGAATGGAATCCAGCCTTCATATCATCAGAGGAATATGGCCAGTTTGTGAATTCTCTACAAGATTGTGACTGAAGCATTTTCACAAAGGCTTCTTGGAATTAAGCCAGATTCTCACGTTCATGCCAAACACACAAAATACTTTGGATCAGTCCAAATATGTGTGCACTGAACATTGATGCCAGAATCTGACATAACCCTTCTCCCAGCTGTTGAATTCGCTCTTAGATATACTATCACCTGGAGCGCTGCCCCTTGTGTACAGTTAGAACTCGGAGCTAACCAGAAATCAGTGAGCTGAAATTTTACAGCATATTAAATTTTCTGCTCCAGCAACAGGAGGACAGAGAGTGTGTTTTAAAATCCACTTAAGCTGACTTCAGAAGAAACTCACAAATAAACCAAGGAAACTGGAACTTTGGTAAGTAGATGGTGTCTCCATTTTCAGAAAAGAGGATCATTCAAGACAGGAACAATGGTCCTAATATATTAGTTAGAGGTCTATATGTGACTTCAGATCGACATAGTGGGATAGACCCTTAAATACTTTGCATAATGACCTATCGAGGCACTCAGATCCCAGGCCATTTGGAATTGGTAACAAATGCAAGCTTTATTAGTGAAACCCTAAAGGTAAAGCCACCATAGTCTCACCAGACCACAGGACTGCTGTCTCATTAGAGAGAGATCATGACTGTTGGTTTAACCTGAGGGTCACTATATCTTAGGTGAGGTAAAGAAAGAGAATTCTTCGTGGTAACCTCAGTAGGAAAAAAGAAAATGTAGATTCAGGCTTCAGCCGTTTGGTTAAAAGTTAAGATAACAAGGCGTAGAGCTGGATGAACACAGCAGGCCAAGCAGCATCAGAGGAGCAGGAAAGCTGACGTTTCGGGCCTAGACCCTTCTTCAGAAATAAGGGAGGGGAAGGGGATTCTGAAATAAATAGAGAGAGAGGGGGAGACGGATGGAATAAGGATCATCTTCCATCTACCTCCCCCTCTCATCATTTTAAAGAAGACTGCGGCAATTATCCCTGGTGTCTTGGTCAATACTAATTCTTAAATCAACATCACAGAAACAGATTATTTTCTCATTATCACATTGCTGTTGTAACATTTTGCTGTGTTGCTAATTAGCTGTTGCATTTCCTACATTACAACAGAGGCTACGCTGCAAAGAAGTACTTTATTGATTGCAAAACACTCTATGACATTACTTCTTTGTTTTTATCTTTCCTTCGAAATGATTGGAATTACTTGGAGAAAATATAGCACATCTTCAATAAACTGTGTTAAACTGTCATGCTACCTTCATGGTCCCTGCCCACTGATCTCATTAGCTCCTCTGCTTCCTAACTCTTTCACATGCAGATCTGCTACCATGTCTTTCCAAAATTACCCATTCGACTTGTGTGTCCTCCCC